AGAAAGTAAAAGTTTAATTCGATTTTTTACCTGTGGAAGGTACTTATTAGCATACCAATTAACAAGTTTAAAAGAATTGGGGGTTTTTTTTTTTGTCAAGTCTAGACAGATACACTCTATTCAATAGTCTCTTGCATAATTCTTAACTTCCTCGCATGACGTGACAAATCTGAAGACACACATTCACATGAAAGTAGTTAGGACCGGTTTATATTAGAGTTTATAATCGTTTCGTTAAAAATTTGTAACTTTTACCTCGAAAATTGAGCTATTATTTAATTTTAAAAAAAATTGAGAAAAATTTACTTAGAAACACAAAAGCGAACAGAATTACATAAAAAAATGTATTTTTTTATTTGTTTTTAATTTTATTCGGAAGTTTCGAAAATATTTTACTGTGTTACTTTTTTCATTAACTTAACATTTTTATTGTTAAAATTATTTTACTATGTTAAAAATATTTGCAAGAAATTTTATTTCTTTTGTTTCTCTTTTTTGAAATAGTTACCAAGAAGTATGACAATATTCTTCGTTTAGGATAATATTTCCCATTTGAAACGTCCTGAGAATATTGTGTCTCATGACTCACATCCTTTTAACAATTCCTTTCGAGATTTTAGGTTTTACGTCATTAATACCCACACAAAACGACTTTTTATATATACATATATTATGATTATGATTAGGTTAATATTGAAGATAATATTCATTTAGAAACTATATTTATATTATTTTAATATTTTTACCTAAAAAATGAAATTATTCAATTATTTTAATTTAATATCATAATTTTCATGGTCAAATTCCTTAGAAAATATCTTCTTCTTGTTTCTTCGCAACTATATGGTATTATTATCTTCTTGGGCGTAAAAAGCTATGAAACAATCCGGTTTTCACTCCTCGTTTCTTCTTATTGAGAATGGCACGTGCTATGCTAGAAGTAACCATAAATTCCAAGTAAACGTCATATGCTTCTTCCCCTGTATTTATATCATATATGTATACGCAAATAATAATATAGTCATGTATACATAAAGTGAATATACTGCGATAACCAACAAGATTAGAAGTTGCAACCTAAATGATACTCTACTTTTTCTCATAGTTTCTTTGCCATAGACCCGAGAACTCGTTTTGACAGAATATAAGTATATAAACATTATAGCAAAAAAAAAGTACCACAGCATTACATAATGTGTCACGATTTAAATTTCTTTCAATTAAAACTTTAAATTTGTCACAATACTTCCTCTATATGAAGAAGCAAAGTTGAAAAAAAAATTAGAAAATAAAAAATTTGTAAGAAAGACATTTTTTTAAAAACCACAAATAAATATTTATTTAACTCTTGAGGCAAATATATTTTGCTTCTTTGTGAGGTTATGGTTCATCTTCTTTTTCAATAGACATGCGCATGCGTGAACACGTTAAGAACCATATATTTTGATGGAAACAACAAAATTATGTTTGTTACAACAAAATAAGGTGAAGAAAATAATACTGTTGACAAAAAGAACATGTATTATTGCGCAAACCAAATCATTTTGTAATACCAACCAAAATATTGTTCTTACAACGAGAAATTCTCAACTGAACGATTTTGTTGAAACCACTAAAATTTTTTTTCTCAGTTTAAACAAAATGTTTTGTTGTTATCTCAAATCCTATTTTTTTTCTCAGTGTAGGTTCACAGTAAAAACAAAGTCTTAAACCGTTTACACCTTAAATTAAGCCCATATATTTTGCATAAGTCTGTCCTTTTTTAATTGGTCTGACTCCGTTTACACCTTAAATTCAGCCTCAAAAATAGGCTGAAATCAAGATTTCTTTTTTAGTGTGTTATATATGATACGAAACAGAAAAATAAACAAACGTTTAGAAATTTGCAGAATTTTTCTTGCACTTAATTATTATTCTATAATAATAATACACTTTCTCTAAATACACTTATGAAATCGTTTTAAGTATATATAAAGACAATCTGCACCTTTCGTTTGCTTTTGTATTATAGTGATCTAAACGAATGCAAAATCAAATGATCTAGGAAGTCATGGAGGTTAGTCACGAAGCAAGAAATTAGTATTGGCAGGAGAATAACCCTTTACTTGAATATATTTTTAATTTGAAATGTCAATGTTTACCCACACGCTTGTGAACCATTGAGATGAACCCTCCATTTAGGATCAGAGGTTACAACGTGCCATGGGAATATGTGCCCAACAGTGAACACACTAATGTGATCCTTGTAAATTCGTTAACCTATATATAATAAGTTTCATAATGAATATATATCAAGAATGTAAAAAAATCACTCTAATTCACTTATTCGTGGCTTTTACTTTCAAATTACTCGAGGGAGGATGTTTGTCAAATTTCTAATTTTTTAATGGTTTTACATTTGGATTATTATATTTTGCTTAGTTTGCATACGGAGAAAAATAGTTAGCTATCTTTGATAAAATTTACTTATCTTATAGGTAACCCCACTTGCTATTATATGTATGGCAATTGTTATTGTTAGCTAATACAGCTAATAATTGAGGAGCCGGATCGTAGAACCGATTCTTCGCTCTCTCCGGAGTCCCTCAAGTGAGCCAGCTTTCAGCTGCGCGGGGGACTTGCGCATTAGTGAAGAATCGGTTCTACGATCCGGCTCCTCAATTATCTTCCATAGCTAACATTTTTTGCTGTGGCAGAACAAAAAATTCGCTATCCATATAATAGCAAACTCATTATTTTTCCGTCCAATTTTTATTAATAATTTTAACTTATATCTATTTTATAGTCTCTAAATTTGAATAAACGAGAATTCGTTCACTAATTTAAATTAGTCAAAATTTCAACTAGTTTTTCACTAAAACTTTATTTATTTATTAATATTGACAAGGCCCTTATTCGTACTACAAAGTATTAGAAAATACAAAAATTATGACTTAAAATCTAATTGGCTGCACTATTTATTGTTATTTTTATCTATGACGCAAATCTCCTATAAAAAATTTAATGAAATACCAAAAAGGAAAAAAAAAGTTTTTTTTATTGTTAAAAAATTAAAATGAACGAATTATCACAAATTCAAATTTAGAAAGTTAGAATTATAATTTGTAATTTTAAAACCATATTGGTAATTTTCGTACAGTTGGTAAATTTTAACCTCAACTAATAAAAAAAATTTATTATTTATAAATAACTAAATTATTTATTAATAGCAAAAAAATTAAAAAATAAATTTAAAAAAATATTACAAAATTAATAAAATATTTAATTAAATTCAATAAATATTGATATAGATGAAGTAAATTTTGTTTAAAATAACCAAAATATTAGATTTATTTGTTTGAGATATAGTTCATGTAGTTTCATCCGAAGGTTTGGAACAATTTAATCTACACTTCTCTATTAAAAAATAATTTGAAAATGCTTGCAAAAAAACTTTTTGCAATTTTTTCGCGGTGAAGAAATTTTTTTTACAATGGCACACTAATTCATATTGTATATATATATAAATAAAGTAAAGTGTAACTGAAGCGTGGATATGACAGGCATGCTAAGGGCACGAGAAAATAGCGGCTCGTTTCCTGAGACTACTTGAAGCAGAATATTATGTAGTTCCTGTTGAACTGGATGAGAGTTTCAGCTGGAACGTACATACATTGTAATACTTGAAAAGAATTCTAGGAAAATATGTCATCTAAACAAAAATATCTATAATTTTTTTGTTTTTTTGCCAAACATGATTTTGTATATTGATAATCTTATTTTTTTGTATACAATTTTGTATAATAATTTACATCCTCTATAATTAAATATATATACATACGTATTGTCAATATAACTTGTGTTTTTATCAATTCGATGATAATAATATGAAAATTGTTCAATTTGTTGTTTAAAATGAATATTTCACATTTCTGTGTTATTCAGGAGTAAATTATTTTAAATTACACTGTTATTAATTTTTAATTAAGTTTTAAATAAATGTACACCCAGAGATATTTTTTATTCCAATCAAAAACATCATTTATATGAATTAAATAAAAACAAAACTTTCCTCGAGGGCTAAAATAAATATTCATTTTTGAAACAGAAAATATATTTAATAATTATAAAATAAAAAGGCCTAGAACTGTTTTAACAAAAAACAAATAGAAAATATATTTATATTTACTTCTGAGTAAAATATATGTATAATTTTTTTTTTTTCTAAATGTAATTGAAGTAAGAATAATAATATACATTCTGGTGTATTCTCACTGGAAATCAATCAATTTTCAATGAGTTTTTAGTACCGCGTGCTCGCACTCATTAGCATTATTTGTTTTACAAATAAAATGTTTTACGAAATATCGAATACAATATTAAATATTACATAATAAAATTGTTCTTGCATCATGGATAAATTTTCCCGACAAAAATGCATCAGAATCTTTATCTTTTGTTTTGTTAAACTTTGTAGCTCTCGGAAAACATAATCTTTTTCACGCACTGTTGCATTTTTTCAATGTAACTGAATTTTTTTTTTTTTTTTGAGATTCCTCGTAATAAATAATAGCAATAGTTATTCCTCTAAAATTATATAATATGGTAATTTTTTTTAATGTGCGTTTAATTTAAAATCAGGTATCAATAAAATCATCTATATATATAAATATAAATTTTTATTAATAATTCGAATTTTTAGACTTTAAATCTTTTTTTTAAATTGAATCCTTATTTTTTTAAAAATGCACAAATTAGCATAATTTTTTTTCGATCAAACAAAATAGCATTGCCAACTTTTTATAGTATAACGTTACCTCCATTCTTTCTAGAGCGCATTTTGTTTTTAAAAGAAAATCGATCATTTAAGTCCATCAATCATTCAGTTTTGTTTGATGAAAAAATTAAAAAAAAAAAAAAAGTACAAAACTTGCAAAAGTTTTAAGGATAAGATAAGAGTACAAACTCTTTTTATATATATGACACGCAACCAATTCTAAGCATTGTGATTTTTGTTTCAGGATTCATAAATTGCAATTCCAACACGCTACAGTCCCTCGCACAGCTACACGGTGAGTTTTCAAAATATATTTTATTTTTCATGAATAACAAAAATTTCTCTATCGTCGTTTTAATTATTATATGATTAATATCATCTTTTAGTTCCGTAATATAAATTGAAGACATATATTTGATATTTTTTTTTCTATTTTTATAAAAGAAATTGAATCTTTTTTTTTTGACTAATGTATTTTCAAATTAAACGCTTTTAAACCGCGCAGAGAGTGAGAAGATGGGGACAATAAACAAAAAAAAAAGGGAAAATACAATGGGTCGAAAAAGCAAAGTAAAGTGTCGTTGTTAGGGAAAGCTAAATAAAAGGGAACGCTTGAGAAAAGTGCTTTGTTGTTGGGAATTACTTAATTAAAATTTATAGTTATATATAATACCTAAGTAGGAATAATGCTTTCTATTTGCCAGAAGAAGTCACAATTCGCTCTTTCTATATCTTTAACTTATTCAAGTTATCTTTAGCTTATTCAAGTTTAATTTTCAAGAAAAAACTCCGGATTACAATATAATAGAGACAAAATTGATTTTAAGATTATTTTTTCTGAAGTTAATAATTATTTTTTTATTCAGAATAAAAATAAAATCGAAATATTCATTTTTTTGAACCGAATATTTAATTTTGTTCGTGTTTAGAAAATTTGTAACTTTTTTTTTAATTTAAAAAATTTTTTTGTAGATACAAATATATAAAGTTTAAAAAAGCTCATGATTGTTTCATAATATTATTCTTGTTAAAAAAAAAATAATACCCGTTATTTCCTGTGCTACTTTTAATTAAAGTTACAAAATTTAGCTACATATATATATACACGAAAAAAAGAACGAGTAGGAGAATTGTATTTACTATTCAACTGCGTAGACGTAATTGATTCACAAAAGTTGTTACGAGTAGCTCTCGCTTAGTGTGTTGGTAACATACGGAACGTGTTTATAATATTGGATGAGTTGTGCAGATAGAAAAATCGACCTCGACCGAAATTAGCTGGGTACTTTCCCTTGCAATGGACTCAACCGTATAGACAACGAATTTAATTTTTGCGGTGCTTGTTATTTTTATCCTTATAGCTGTTATATACACACAAAAAAAAAGTTTAATCCTTAAAACCTATTTCGGATTATTCAGACTCGTGCGCACCAATTTATCAGAGCATTGTTCGTCTCAAGGTATTATATATATTGCTTTCCTGATTGGTCGATCGCATCCTGTCCTCGTTACAATATATAGGTATATGCCTATAGTATTGTCAATTGTCGACGGATATATAGACATACTGTTTATATAGATACCAAGCTATTCACAATATATTCGGTGACACTCTCGCAATATTTTTTAATTTACCATAATCGAACTTATCAAATTGTATATAATTGCTCTTATATAACTAATTTTATTGTAGGCCAAGGATAGAAGCAATTAAAGTGTATCAATCAAACAATGAGAGCAGGAATTAATTTTTTTTAAATCTCAGGTGTGTCCTTTTATATTATTTTTTATAAACTGAAATATAAAAAAGACATAAAAAGTACCTAAATATTTATTCATTAAAATTTTGATTTTTTAGAAAACACATGTTTTTAGCTACAATTTAGTTACTGTAGCTAACCCCAATTCCTATTATATGGATAGCAATTATTGTTAGCTAATACAGCTTATACTTAGTTTCCATACACTGAAAAAAATGTTGCCGAGAAATTCAACTACCATTGGGTAGTTGACTAGAAAGTAGTTACAATAACTACTTTTTTAGTTAATCTAATCATGTTGATGTAGTTAATGTAACTATTTTTAAGAAGTTAATAAGTAATAGTTGATTTTACGTAAATATGTAGTTAAAGTACAACTACAAGTCGGTAGTAAAATTAACTTTCTTAAGGTAGTAAAAACAAGTGGAATTGTAGTCAACTCAAAATTTTAAGAGTAGTAAATCCAACTACTGTTCACCAGTTATATGAAATGTAGTAAAAGGAATTATTTTCTTTGATTAATATAACTGCTTTTTGAGTAGTAAATTTTTTATTAATTTCTATGATTTTATAGGCTTCAATAAAATTTCTTGTTGTAGAATTAACAAGTCGTCTGTAATTAAAACTACTACTTTAAGTAGTAGATTTTACTACTCAAAGTGGTACAATAGGCTTTAAGAACATTTTTGTTGTAGAATTAACAAATCCTTTGTGATTAAAACTACTACTTTAAGTAGTAATTTTTTACTATTTTAATTAATTCAACAAGCTTGAAAAACGTTTTTGATGTAAAATTTACAAATTGTTTCCAATTAAAACTACTACTTTCAGTAGTAGCTTTTACTACTTAAAGTGGTTCAATAGGCTTTAAAAACATTTATGTAGTAGAATTAAAAAATCCTTTGCAATTAAAACTATCACTTTAAGTAGTAGATTTTACTGCACTATGCAATTAAACAACTTATAATATAATTAAAAGATGAAAAATTTACAAGTCAAAACTTAAAAAGGATAGTTATAGCAACTAATAAAAGTAGTAAAAATTACTACTTTAAATAATTAAATTACCAATTGGACAAGCATAATCGTTAGGGCATAAAATAAGCGTCAGTATAGGAGAGAGAATGAAAAAGTCAATTCTACTGATAATAAACAATTATAAATAAAAAATAATTGTATTTTCCTATTTTAAGTAGTAAAATTCACTATTTAAAGTAGTAGTTTTAATTGCAAAATATTTATTAAATGTACCAAAAAAATGTTCTTAAAGCCTATTGAACCACTTTAAGTAGTAAAATCTACTACTTACATCATGAGTTGTTTTAACATTTTTAAATTGAGTTAATACAATCACAAAATGTCTTTCTACTAATTACATTTTTAATTGGTTTAACTATTCTTACATAGTTAATAGAACCGTTTAAATTCAGTTGAGGACCTATTGTACTACTCAGAGTAGTTAAAAAGTAGTAAAACCTACTAGTTTTTTTTTCACTGTAGCTAACATGTTTTGCTGTGGCAGCTAAATATTAGCAACCAGAACTAAAAATTCGCTATCCATATACTATGACAAACTCATTTTTCTCCGTCTATGTTTACTAAATTGTATGTTAATATTTTTAATATTTATAAATATGCATAATTTAAATAAGTGACATTTTATAAAGAATAAAGAATGTAATTTGAATATAAAAGATCTTGGTTATTCCTCTAACGTATGACACTTTGTATGTTGTGCGTCCTTTCTTTTTCTTTTTTTTTTTCTTTTTTAGTTAAAAATCTAATTCGTTGTTACTGGGGTAAAAAAAAAAGAATGAGATTTCCCTTGTGGTCTCTACTCAGGAGGTAGTATAGAACACGTGTTATTAGATGCAGGACACCTGCACCTGCAGGCGTCTGCCTAGCAACAGGGAATGTCCAACATTGTATATTAGATTAGTCACTTTGATCCGTTTAAAGTAGAAGAAACCTAATTTCACAAATCTACCTTGAGAAGCATAAAATAGCTATAACTTACACAGTCTTCTATTCTCGTAGTGTATACATATATATAGTAAATAAAAGATTTTCACTAAAAGAAAAATATAAATCTAATTAAATTTAAATCTAACATTCATTCATTAATTTTTGTTCATAAAAAACGTGTTCTAATTAATTATAAAATAATGTCAAAAATTCGTTCAGAGAAAGAAAATTTAATTCTTTCTTTTACATTTCCAAAAAAAATATATTTATTAATTAAAAAATGTATTGCAAAAAATATTGCGAAAATTTCTCTTTAACAAGATACAAACTGGTTCAAGAATTTTTGCACTCTCACCAAAAATATAAAATGTCTGAGATTAATATTTGACTGGAATTGCGTTTACGTAAAAAAAACAAACAAAAATTGTGGAAAAATACGAATATATATAAGAATAACTGAAAATAATATAGATGGTAACCAGTTTGTATATATATATATATATATATATATATACGTATGCAGTTATTTTTATAGGAAATCTTACATACACTAGATGCATATTACATTCGTGTATAATGTAATACTTACACATGAACTTGGTATCTATATACATAAGCCCAGCATTATCATACATATTGCTGCTTCCGAGTGCGCACCGTACGCCTTCACACTTTTTACTCTTTTTCAAATAAAATCTCTGGGACAGTTGTTCTACTCTCGTTACTCGGCAAAATCTTTTGTATATTTCTGAAAATATTCCTCCCTGAACAATGTGTTTTTTGTTTTATTAAGAGACAGCGAGTTCTGACAATAAAGGCGATGCATATATATATATATATATATATATATATATATACATACCTATAACGCTCAGCTGAGCTATGTTTTAATTAAAATAATTTATGTCAGGAGAATCTTTCATTTTGTCGTGTTATAAACTTTGTTCATTATTATGTCGGATAATTATTATTCTTTTCTTTTTTCTTTTATTTTTTTTTTTAAGAAAGAATACGATTTGTTTACGATTTCTATTATCAAAATATTGTTACGCAAAATAATGGGATGAGTTTTCTTTATGAAGCGCAATTGCTTTGTTTTTATTCTACGAATAAAAATGCTATTTTGCGATGCATTGTCAGCGGGATTCCAACGATTCTTTTTGCTCAACATTAGTTTCCGTCGAAAGTTGCTGACGAGTTTTGAAATCACAACCAAAACTACATATATATATATATATATATATATATGATACGAATTCGAACGACTCACTCGCAAAATTTTTATTCACGGAAATCAAAAATATAGTTGAATTGGAGAAATTACTATTGTCAGAAAAAAAATTACTGCGGTTTTCTTTGAAAAACACATTTTTCAAAGCAAATTCGAAATTGTTATTAGAAAATAAATTTTCGTTTTTACATTTCATTTTTCTAAAAAAAATGCATAAGATTTCGAATTGGAAACATATTTGTATAGTTAATAATAGTTAATAATTCGTAGTAATAAGACCTCCAAACGAGTTTTCAAAATTCGAATTTGACAAAAAGTTATAAACAATTAACGTTTTAAAAAATATTCAATATATTGTTATTGGCTGAACCGATTTTAATAAAATCTGATTTAGAGAGTGATTAAAAAATGTACTTTCGATAAATTAATAATTTTTTTTTATAAAATACAATTTTTTATATAATTTGTTATACAATTTTTTTTTGTAAAATCATGAAGAGGGACTTTTCATGATTCCATTGCAAGAAGGAAATAATATAAGATTCTCTAAAACTTTAGAAGTCATGTTTTTAGTTTTTCTTTTTTAAATTTGAAAATTAATTTAAATAAATACTAAAAATGAATTTTTAAAAACTTTTATAGAAATATAAAAAAATAATAATAAAGGATTTATTAAATATTAAATTTTGAATGTTAATTAATTATTAATTAATTTATTATTAATTTAATTTAAATTAAAATATTAAACAGTAAATTTAAAAAAACGTGAATTTAAAAAAAATTGTTTAACTTACAATTAGAATTTTTATTTTATACTTTTTATTACACATATATAAATACTAATAAATAAAATTATCTTATTGTTTCAGGTAAGTCAGTGAATCATCACATGCTTATCACAAAACCCCAAATATTGAGAGCGACATTTCGAAATCATCCACACGCAGTCGAATGCAAGTATACATATAATTTTATCTTGAAAACTTTTTTTTTCCTTTTTTTTTGGTCATTCTCGCAAAATAGATAAATTTTTGAAAAAACAAACATTTAAAAGAAACAGAATATTTTACACTAAAATTGGTGGTATTTTTTTTTTTTTTTTTTTTTTTTAATGAACAAGCGCGTGGTTCAAAAGACAGATTCTATGCTCTCGCAAGCTTTTAGCTTTTACTCCCCGAGTTTCGTATTTCGTATATAAAAGGAACAAAAAACGAAGAAACAGTCTCTAAGTGTTATCGATTATCTATTTATACATGGTATATAGTTAAAATTTTTCTCCAATATATGATAACACACTTTTGAGAAGTAAAAAAATAGATTTCATTTTGAAATTTTATTGGAAAATTGATTTACAAGAATGTAATATACAATATATACGTGTATGTGCAATCTGTCGAAAATTGTAGTGCGTGACAACGACATGCCCGAGAACTGGAACTGATAGGTCTATAACGTTAGTAGCGACAATAAGCCACAGATGCATGTCTAGAACACACAATCTATATAGTTATCTACAAAATCTACTATTAATCGCGCCGTGAAAATTGATTGTGAAATTATTGCAATTTTACTGAAAAAAAAAAAAATTACTTCCATTTTATTAATTAATTCATCTTTAACTAAAAAGAATTATTATCTTTTTAAAATCAAGAAACTAATTATTAAAAGATTAATTAAAAAAAAATTAAATAAAAGTATGGACAATTAAAATTTAACATTAAATGGAAAATGAAGTAAGACAAAAAATTAATAAAGTTAATAATTCATTTGAAATTACTAACATGTAAATCATTTGAGAAAATTAAATTTTGAGAGATAATTCATCTTTTATCTTTCCCGTGCGCGGTGGAATTTTTGTTTTCCTCTACTGATGATTATTTATACCGCACGAGTGTTGACATTTATTAGTCAAAGTGGGACAACACTATATAACAACGTGTAATATAATTATTTTTCTACTAACTTGAAGTGTTATGCGACTATGATTCATTATACACTATATCTTCCTTTTTCTCTCAAGGCTTATTGTATATATATAGAGAAAACATTAGATCCCCATTTATATATATATGCATCTCTTCTCAAATCGTTGAAAAATGATTTCTTTAAATCCCATTTAGAAATGCTCATCGTTGAAACGTAAGTTAGTTATAATTATACTGTTAAGTAATTTGGAAAATTATTTCCACTATCCTTTTTTGTATTATATATTCAACGATTGACGATTCTGGTTATTTAAACCGTGAGACTTAAATATAAGCATAACTTTGAAGAAAAATAGATAGTAGGCAAAAAACAATGATTTAAATTTTGTGTGAAAAAAAATTCTTATATTCATAAGTATATATATAGACGAACAACTGCATTTAGAGAGATTTAGGTGTATGATATAATGTCTGCGTAGAGGAAAAAATACAAAAAAAAAATGAATCAAAAAAACTCATGTACTGACCGTCTTTGATATACAAGAAAATTTTATTAGTTTAAAGTAAATCTTGAATTAAGAAAATAAGTACACTGAAAAAAATTTGGTGCAGCAGCTGCGCAAACGGAAAATTTCTATATTCAATTAACTTCATACTTAATATTTGCCATGCGTTTTTATATGAGTGAAGTTAACTGAATGTAGAAATTTTTTGTTTGGGGCAGCTGCTGAACCAAAAGTTTTTCAGTGTATATATATTATTTATATATGTGTGATTTAGAATTCGCGACAATATATATATTCACATATAGCAAAAAATTATGTAGATGTCGAAAAATCAAAACTCTATATGTGCTTATAATATATAAGAAAGAATTGACAATTTTTTATTTTCGTGCAAACTACTGTTAACATCAGTGAAACATTTTTGACATTTACGAATCACTGCGCGCTTTTCAAACAAGAATACACATATTTTTCATTCACAATATTCAAGAATTTTTTTTTATTTACATCGTAATTCACATTTCGTTAAACTGACACGAAGAACTTCCGTCATATGTATTAAATTTCACTATTGTATTTCGAAGAGATTTTTCAATTTAATTTCATTTTTCTTATACTACTCTCTAAATCTGAATCAGTAGAAATTTTACTAATTCAATCAGTACTTATCATTTTAACTGAAGTTTCAGTTATTTTTTGAAATTTACTAATATAATTAGTGAATATGCTAGCAATAGAAAATAACTTATGTAAATCAGTAATTTGTATATAACATAACCTTCAAAATTAACTATTAAATCAGTAGATTTTGTGGCCGCCGCCATATATTTATATTACTGATTCAATCAGTAATTGATATTTTACTAATTGAATCAGTAAATTTCTACTAATTGGCAGTTGCTCAATTCTCGCTATATGGCAATTAGTAGATTTCTACTGCTAATCAGTAAAATATGACTGATTCAGATTTAGAGAGTATATCTAAATTTGAATAAATGAGAATTCGCAATCACTAATTTTTAGTCATATTTTACTAAAATTTTAATAATATTCTTTTGACTAAAGTTTTAGTAATAAAATGACTAAAAATTAGTTAAAATTTGTACTAATTCAAAGGAAAGTAAATTAATTATTATTAATTTATAAATATTGAAAATTGTACTATAATTAATTAATATAGTTAACGTATTAATGAATTATTTGAAAAATTTTTCTTATTTTTTTTCAAAAACAAAAAAAAAATGAAATTCCGTTTTTTTTAAATAAAATACCTTTCCACAATTTTTTTCTCTCGATTTGTTATCACCGCCATTGATTATAGTAACCACCTTGTACTACTTCTTTTTTTTTTGCTTTTTAAAAGCATTTGAAAGTGTGTTGACAAATGCGTTGAACCGTTAGATAACTCTTTAACTTTTTACGATCGCAGGTAAACGTCATTTTCAAAAAGGTTTTTTTTATTAGGTTAAATATGATTTTATGAAGATAAATGTAAAGATAAATAAAGTAGAAGTTGAGACATCAATATTAGGTACATCTTTGCTTAGAGTTAGTGCTCTTTTTTAAAGTATATAAACACACACATATATACATATATATATGTGTACACGATTGCGCTTATAACTTTGTTACGTCTCGTGAGGATTAACCAGTTACACATATATGACGATGATTTTAACAGACGACATAATGTGATTTACGAGTCTATAGCTGTACATGGTTTTGCAGAGAGTCGAGGCCAAAGGCCTCTTCGAATCGTTAGCGACTACATGCCACCTCGTTCACGCTAGTTACCTAAGACCCGATTAAACGAAAACCTCGTAATTTGAGTAATTCCCAACGCTGCCGTTTCACAAACCCTGCAACATGTTCGGGGTTAATACATTCCAAATATGTTTCTAGCAAAACACCCTTGCACAAAATGTTTGCATTCATTATTTTAATTATCAAAGGAAATATCTATATCTGACTCTCTTTTCTAAATGTATATATTTCAATGTTCCATATGTTGCAGGGAAAAAAAAAATTTTTCTGTTACAAAAAAACGAAAATAATTTCATAAAATTATAATTTTAGTTTTGTAGTTGAAAAATGAAAATTTCAGACTTTTTTTTGGTTTTTAATAGAAAAGTCTATTTAGCAAAAAAATTTTTTTATGGGATCCGGTATATTTTGATCACCTTGTATATAAGTGAGAAAATTGTTGGAACTTGAAGTATGTTGTGAGATTAAATCTTCTCTCTTATAAGCTTTTTATGAAATGTTGTATTGCCAAGTGATCAATTTCTTGTTTCTTGTTCATCTTCTATTAAATCAGTATAATTGTGTTCCTCTGATTGATGTAAATTACACCAACTCACGTTCACTTGTACGTGCTTTTACTTTTTTTTTCCTCTATTAATTTTCATTCTTTCAATATCATATATATATATATATATATATATATATATATATATTTATTTATACTAAAAAAAACCATCAGATTTTTTTTTATTTTCAACTGAAATTATTAGCAGTGTAATTTAAAAAAAAGTAAATTCTAAGATTTTCATTTTATACAAAGTCTTGGATAATTAAATTAGAACCTGTTTCTAATGTCACATGCGCATAAATATTTGAAAAAATTAAAAATTATTTGTGGTTATTACTTAAATAAAATACGACTTAAAAATAATCATCTGATGTTTTAGATTTGCATTTCCCGTTTTGTTATAGTACTACATATAAACTTCTTCATTTATTTTTCTAATTTGTTCTTAAATTTTGTTTTAATATTTTTCTTCTTTTTTTTCATAATTATATGGGGTTTTCTTTTTTATTTTGTTTTTTTTTTTAATTTAAAATATACATGATTTTTATTTCAGGTGTTAATTATTATGTTTTATTATTATAAACACTTGTCAGGTTATCCACTGTATATAGTAGATACATATATATTATGTTATTTTAGCATACGGAAATTTCACTTAACAAGTTTGTTTAGTTTTATAACCATCTAGCTAATTGAACTGCGCAGAGTCCTATTCAGAGAGACCGACGACTCAACAAAGATAATAATTGTTTGCTTCTAAGTAATTAAAGTGCGAAGCCTTAAAAAAAAAAGAATAGCACCTATCCTGTCTTTTATATATATATACATGTATATGCCGGTTAATTGAATCGCGTGAATTTCTCGGAACGAATCACACATTATCATAGTGTTTATCTTATCTTTGCGTGTTAAGAAATGCATCTTTATTTCACCTATACCAGAATATCTAAATGAATTTCTTTCAACAACTATAAACAACAAACACATACACACTGTAATAATTATCCGCGAGGGTAATTGTTTCCTTTCGCTCTCTTCAATATGTGTAAAGTTCCATTAGAGCGTGAATAATCCGTGGAGATTCTGCAAGATTCATTAATTATGCAATTTTCACAATAATTCATTTGTTTGATTATATTTACACTATATAGCTTAAACAGTCAAGTATATGTGTTTTTCAGTATGCGAACAGAAGTATATAATTGAAATTT